ACAGTTTACAAAGTGCCTCCTTGGGTAGGAGTACATCCAGTCTTCATCTAACGGTCCTGCAAGCGCATGAGCATCACCCCATTGGATCGCTGAGGACCATGAGGCTCAGAAAGCATCAGCAAGTGTCCTGGCTGTCTTGGGTCTGTATTAGACGTGTCAGTTATGGCTACCTCACGTAGATAGCTCTTTCTAAAAGTAACTGCCCTGCCCCAGCTCTTACTAAGGGGCTGGCATCAGCAGTCATGTTCTCCCCCCAAACTACTGCCAGACTCAGCTGATTGGACCGGGGCTGGCGCCCAGCCTGAGTTGGCCAAGGGCAGGGCTCTGTCCAACAACCAGTGTCTATTAGCCACTTCAATAAGATCCCTTCTTCAAAATGGGAGCAGGAACGTTTGGCAAGAATTGACCAGGAGGTAGGAAATGCAGAGTCAAAGAGAGGCAGTTTCATGCCCAGCACTGAGTAAGGACCCCAATCCTAGAGCCTCTCAGGGCAACCTTTGGTCTCGAATGCCCTCCTTTCTGATGTAAAGCCCAACTACCACTCAGGATTCCCATGAGCTGCCACTTGCTACATGACCCCTTGCATATCCTTTCAAAGAATCCTATTTATTTGAGTCAGCTGGTTCCTTACAGCCAAAAAAAGTCAGGCACCTGTCCCTGACAATGTGCTCCAGGAGTCACACTTGAGTCTTAACCCCGGAGGCTGAGCCCATCCACGTTAACAGTGGGAGAGGCAGTAGCAAAATGAGTCGCTAAAAATGTCATGGGGTTTTTTTCCGGGGGCCATCATTCATTCATTCATTCATTCATTCATTCACTTCTTTGTTCATTCGTTAACAGCCTGGAACTGAGGGTCCACTCTGTGCCAGGCCCAGGATCAAAAGGAACAGCAACCCTGAGAGGACCTGCTCAGAGTCTCAGCAGCTTCCGCCCTTACTTCTTGTCACTTGCCCAGCCGTGTGGCATGGCAAGGGAGGGCTGATTAGTATCCCATCGGGCTGTAAGGAAACAAAGATTTGGAGGTTGGAAAGCAGCAGAGCTGGAGCCCCAATCCGAATCTACAGCTTTTCTTCCATCTCCAGCCCTCTGAGTTGTCTGGGGACAGCCCGAGTATTTAAAATCTCATCAACTCGTTACCGATGCTGAAGTGTTTAATATGAAGCTGTCACCCTTTGGCAGGCGCCTGCATTAACTGGTGCGCTCATGGAAACCTGTGGCTTTCAAGTTGATGAACCTTTTAAGTTTTACCATTTAAGCTAATAGCAAGGGACCGACATCTGTTTGTACTAACACATCTCTACAACAGAACAGGGATGACTTAACAGTTGCTATGGATACCTGGAGTCGCCAGCTCTGTTTGGGGGCTATAATTATCTTTGCGACAGCCTTCAAATGCCCCAGGGTAGGGACGCTGGAGGTGCAAGGAAAGCCAGGCTGCCTTTCCGTGCACAATGTTTTGCAGCCTTACACACTCACATGCACACACCCACAGAGGTGGGTTAGTTTGACACCCAAGGGGACAAAACTGGATCCCACCAAGTCGGACCTGCCTCCTGCTCTTTTCCCTTACATATCAAGATTCTGTTGAATGCCAAAAGCTGAGACTTGTGGAATCATCCTCAAGCCTTCAAATTCTGGAGTCTGGAGATCCCAGAATTAGAATTCTAGAATGCCAAAGTCTTCAACTTTCACCACTCTGGGGGCAGGGGTTCTAAATTCCAGAATCATAGAAAGGTAGAAATGGAGAAGTCTAGAATTATTGGGTGCTCCTAGGAGCAGAGCTCATTACTTTAAAGCTTTAAAGGACCTTCTTTATAGTGTCACAAAATACACCTTGTCATGTTCACTCGCTTCTCCTTGCTCTGCCAGCTCCTTGGGGATGAGAGGACAAGCAGAGTCACTCACACGAGGGAAGCTGCAGGCTCACCTTAGACTTTTCTTGTTCACACTAAACATCCCCAGAACTTTCCCTGAGCCCCTCTCCTGACAAGGTGAGCCAGGAGCCTGTCTGGGGGGAAAGACCGGTTCTGTGATCTTCAGTGTCTGGCAACCCTCATCTCTCATCACACACACACACACACACACACACACACACACACACACACACACACACCCCCCCCCCCACCCACCACCCTGCCGTGAATCAGAGGGATCATGCTTTAACATGGAGGGGGACCGAAGATGAAACGAACGAGAGCATTTTGGCTCTTTAAAGCCACAGGTCCCCTCAACCTTGACCATCTCTCTTCCTCCTCCTCCTGGGAGCCACCCCTTTGGATGCCAGCCTGGGCAGTGCCTCCCGCCTGCCCCCAGCTCAATTTGCTCCTTCCTGGCAGAGTCTGCCCTCCTGGACCAGGCCAGGCCAGACTCAGAGCAGGGCTAGGGCCTGGAGCCTACAGGACCTGCCCAAGGACCTTGACAGGGCGGCAGGACCCCCAAGCTTGCCCCAGACCTCACTTGGGCCCACCACCCACTCCTCCCCAGGCCCCTCGCAGCCACCATACTGACCACATCTCCCCTTCTCCCCAGCTGTCCTGTGGAGCCTCCAGCCAGGCAGCGGGGCTGGGGGTGGGGAGAGGTGTCTTATAGCAGCTGGGGAGAGGCACAGCGAACTAAAAATACAGTTCCACAGCAAGGCTCCTCCTCTCCCTGGAGGCCCAGAGGGGCTTTACTGGAGGAGGGCTGGCAGGGACACACCAAGATCCCAAAACCCCAGTCAACGTGTGTAGCCTGGGGACACAGCCTGCCCTTTGTTCCGCTTTCCTCCCCAGCCTGGAAGGGGCTCCTCCAGCCCCACGTTCACAGCCTCCCCCGACCCCCACACCATGGGTTCCCCTCCCCTCCTTGCCCCTCTCACAGAAATAGCTCCCCCTCCAGGAATCGCCCCCTCCGCTTCTTCCCAGAAGGTGTGCCCGCTTTCCCCTCTGTTCTCCTACTTGGGTGCAGCCTTTTCACCTCTCTCTACTTTAGGGTTCAGTTCCCTGTTGCTACCCTGTGAGCTTCCTCAGAGGCAGGAATAGAAAGACCAGACACTCACTTTACTTACGGCACTTGGGAGGCACGGCCCCACCCAGCAGCCCTTTTCAATGGACTCTTTCATAAGCCTCATTTTACACCTGAGGAGACTGAGGCACAGAGACGCTAAGTAACTTGCCCAAGGTCACACAGCTAGGAAATGCCAAGCATCAAATTCAAATCGAGGGAAGTTTGGTTTCAGAGTTTGTGCTTCACAGCTAGGACCTGGTCTAACTTCTTGGATCCTTCCTCTCCCCCCTCTCATCTGTCTGATAGCACCTAACAAAGAGCCAGGTCAGTAAGCTCTTTGAAAGTTCATTTTATTGAACTGAGACTTCCGGGGTCTTCCCGGAGGTGAAGGCAAAGACAGTTAGAAGGCTAACAATCGGGAGGCCCTGCTGCCATCTAGTGGAGGCAAGGAGAAAAGCATCTATCTCTGGCTCAGGACCTCTTCCCCTGGGCTCCTCTGCTCACCCACCCACCTTCTTAGCCCGCCACGTTGGGGTCTTTTTCCATCTGTACGAGTATATGCATGGCACCAATCAGGACCAGTTTTCCAAATTATTAAAAGATGAATATTCCATGGTTCATCCTCTCAAGAAACTCAAGGTCAAGTAGAGGAAACACCCCAAGGGGATTCGGAAAGCCAGGCATTTGAGCAAAGGGCTATGGAGGGTGGGGGTGAGAAGGCAGCTGAGGTCTACATGCAGAAGCCCTGTTGGCCGAGGTGACCACTGGGCTGGCTCTTAAAGTATTAGGGAATGCCCTGAAGGTTCTTCTAAACAGAGCTAACAAACTGTGCAAAAACCCAAGGGCTACAGGGATGCGTGGGGACAGGGGAGCTAGAGGAGGTGAGACCTCCTGGGAAGGCCCTCCAGTGTCAGAACCAGGTCAAGGAGACTTAGAATGGACAGTTCAGTTCCACAAACACTCGTACTCACCTGGTGCCAGGCTTTGTGCTGGGCTCTGGGCAGCCAAGGTGAACACACACAGTCCCTGAGCTTTAGGGGACGATGGGAGGGAGGGATGTGTAAATAGATGCTGGCAGCACTTTGTGATAAGGACAGTAAGAGAGGCAGTTAAGCAGAGGGTCAAAGGCTTTGGAATCAGACACCTGGATTTGATGCTTGGCCCTACCATGTATTACTTTTGTGATCCAGGGAAAACATCATCGCTTTCCAGGGTTTTTGTCTTTATATCTGTAAAATGGGGACCTTGAAAATAATTACCTGTCTTAAATATCATCGTGAGGATTAAAAGAGGGAGTGCATGTACTGTGCCTCGTACACAATAAGTGCTCAATAATTGCTCAGTGTGATATGAGGTACAAAAGAGCCCTATAGAAAAAAAATGGTTAATTCCATCAAGGAACATGTAACGGAGACGGTGATGCCTGAGTAGGAATTTGAAGGATCAATAGGGGTTTGCTAGGAACGAAGTCAGGAAAGGGTACTCCAAGCACAAGGACCAAAACATTTAAGGACATGGAAGTTGGTGTGTTAGGACTAGGTTTGGTTGTGGATGACAGAAAATCCAAAACAATATGGCTTAAACAAGAGAATATTTCATTCTCTTTCATATAGAAGTCCAGACGTAGGGATCCAGGGCTGGTATGGTACAAAACAGCGTCAGGGACCCAGCCTCCATCTCCTTTAGTGCTCTGCCATATTACACACATGGTCTCCACCTCTTGATCCAAGATGACTGCTTGAGCTCCAGCCATCATGTCATCATCCAACCAGCAGGAAGGCAAAAAGGGTGAAGAAGGTTGTGCCCTTTACTTCTGGGGACACTTTCAGGAAGTTGTAACCAATACTTCCTCTCACTGCACATCACAGGGCCACACCTTTACGCAAGGAAGGATGGGAAATGTAGTGTTTATTTCCATATGGCCATATCCCCATATAAAAATGGGGAGTTCTAACCAAAACGAAAACAAACTCATAGCTACAGACAACAGAGGGGGAGGCGATGAGGAGGAGGGTGAAATGGGTAAAGGGGGTCAAATATATGGTGACGGATGGAAACTAGATTTTTGGTGGTGAGTACACTATGCTATATACAGATATCGAATTATAATGTTGCACACCTGAACCTTGTATAATGTTGTTAAGTAGTGTTATCTCAATAAAAATAAATACGTTTTCGTAAAAGAAATTAAAACTGAAAAAAATTGGGAGACCAGTTAGAAAGAAGGGAAGAAGGTATATTGAAGGCAAAGTATAATAGAAATTTCTGCTACAGGAGTTGTAGGAAACATGGTATATGCAGGGAAGTACAAACATTTTGGTGTTTTTTGCGGTGGAAAAAGCAAGGGAGGGTGTGACGGAAGATGCAGCCAGAGAAATAAACAGAGGCCAATGTGGACAGCTTGGGGCGGAGGCACAGAAGTTGAGGTTCCTCCCAGGAGCCACTGAAGGATTTCAAGCAGGGGAAGGCAATGGTTTGATTTGCTGTCCTGGAAACACCATGTTAGTTGCCGATGGGGATACCGTAATGAAGGGGACAAGTCTAGGGGCAGGAGACATTTCTCCCCAATATCTTATATACATTTGCATACATGCAGCAAAGTTGAAAGAATTTCTGAGTGAACACTATATACCCACCACCTAAATTCTACCACTGCCACTTTGCTTGTCTTATCACATGTCTAGCCACCCCTCCATGCATCCATCAATCTTTCTTATTTTTATGGCATTTCAAAGTAAATGGCAGACTCCCGTGGACCACTTCCCCCTAAACACTTCAGCATGATGTCCTTAACGAGAATTCAATATTTGCATTTTTTCTCTTTTGATGTAGAATTTCCACCCAATGAAACGCACATGTCTGAAGTGTATATTTGCTGAGTTTTGACAGACTCATACGCTTGTGTCACCCAACCCCCTGTCAGGATATAGAACATTCTCATCATCCCCCAAAGTTCCCACATGCCCCTTTCTGACCCATCCCTGCGGCTACCACCTCCCAGAGGCAACCACTGTCCTGATGTTTTGTTTGTCAAGCACAGATTGGTTTGGAGGAGGGAGACCTTTAAGGGCCTGCTGTGGGGCCCATGTCTGGGGTGGGGCAGGGGCTCCGAGCTGTGGAAGAGGCAAGGCAAAGGGCTTTGCAGGGGAGCCTGGGGAAAGGGGACTTGAGTTACTGGTTGTGTGACTGGGCAGATGGTGGCGCCATTTACTAAGGTGGGAGGAGCACCCAGGAGGAGCCCCCGTCTCCCTTGGGACAGTAGCATCTGAAGTGTCTGTGGGGCATCTGTCTAGCAGGCGTAAGGATACACATGCGTGTCAAAGCTGGCGCTGGTCTGTGGCGAGGTGGCATCAGTCAAGTGGCCACGCTTCTGTATCCTCCCCAGACCCAGAGCCACAGGGCTCCTGCCACCAGGAAAGGCGGAGGGACCCTTCTCTGCTGTCCCGATGGCCACAGCCCTGTTTTCCCCAAGGGGGCTGAGTGGGTGTGGAGATGGTATGGGGTATGGTTACCTCTGGTTGGCAGGGCTCAGAGAGGAGCCCTCACTCCCGGGGGGGGGGGAACGGGGCTTGTAGCGCCCCCCACCACCACCACGTGGCTCCCCGCCCCCCTCCTTCCATCCGCTCTCCCTAGCATCCTGTGGCTATATACCCTTCCCTTGCCCCATACCTCCGACCCCTTTCCTAACACCTTCCCCCTTCCCTTTAAAATCATCAAATCCCAGGTCTTAGCTACCAAAAATCCCATCAGGGACTTCAGCCTCTGAAGAGGACACCAGCTCTGCCCCCTCATCTCCCTTCCACCCTACCCCTCCACTCCCACTTCCCGGTCCAGGGGACAGTAGAAGCAGTGACAAAACGGAACAGGAACCCACAGCCCAGACTATGGCTGGGTTTTTCTCTAGTCTGTCTAAACTCACACACAACTCACCCCAGCACAGACAACCTCTTTCTCAGACCCCATGTGGTCGCCGGGAGGCATTCCTGGGCTTCCCATTTGTAGGACTTGGATTTATTCCTTGGGAATGAATGCCCTGACCTGACTCGGCTGAGGGGACTTGCCCCAGCCCCAGCCCCAGCCCACCTGGAGTTGCTGCACAGAACACCCTGAATTTATCTGGCGGTCTGGAGAAGCCTCAGTTTACCCCATCTGCACAGGGCCAGAGCGTGAGTTAGTGTAGAGCAGCGGTTCTCAACCTGTGGGTCGCGACCCCTTTGGGGGTCGAATGACCCTTTCACAGGGGTCACCTAAGACCATCGGAAAACAAAAAGATATTTACATTACGATTCAAAACAGTAGCAAAATTAGTTATAGAGTAGCAACGAAAATAATTTTATGGTTGGGGGTGACCACAACATGAGGAACTGTATTAAGGGGTCCAGCATTAGGAAGGTTGAGAACCGCTGGTGTAGAGGAAGTAACAAAGTCACACAGGAGAGGACATTGAGGGAAGAAGGACCCCAGGGAGCACCCTGACATTTAAGAATTGGGAAGGGGAAGAGGAGAGGGAGAAGGGAACTTCCGAGGACAATGGGGAGCCCTGCGAAACTGTAAGGAGGTCAGTGACAGGTCAGGTCTGCACATGG